CTCTCTCTCTCTCTCTCTCTCTCTCTATATATATATATATATATATATATATATATATATATATATATAACTTTTTGTCCCACCCGGAAAGATGGGATGGTCTCTCATCGGTACAAAAGACGTTAATGTCCTCATCGGCGAAACTAGCCCTACAAAGACTGTTCAGTCCCGTCCCATTTATTTTTTGTGTTACTTATAATGCCTTCTGACATGCAAAGTTATGGTTTCTTTAGGGGGCTTTCGTTTGGAGTGCAAAGGCATTAGTTTCAGAGGTAGAATTTATACCTCCTCTCATCCTATTGTCCAACATTCGGTCTTTTCTTTTCTTTATTCCTCTTCTTCTTATATATATATATATATATATATATATATATATATATATATATATATATATATATATCTTCATCTTCTCTCTAATATATTTATTAAAAGGGAAGTTGCATAAAACGATAATGTACTTTGGCCAAATTTCTATCTTGGATAATTAACTTTCTTTTGCCCAAGCTAATGTCATGCCTTGCTCAAACTCGAACCTCATACTCAGCAAATAACAAACAAGAACAAAAAAATTATAAGGCAAAAAGGATTTAAGAGGTGTCTTACGCTTTCTCATATGATTCATGAACAATAGAATAACAAGATAGAGACTCTCTTGCTATTCAAGGTGCTAGACCCTCCCAGGAAGATTCCAATCTTTCAAAACATACCTCTCCCACTAATTGACTTCCACTACTAATAACAGCAAAACAAACTACTAAAATGGTAAAATACCAATCTTACTTTTTTCCGACTAGGGCATTATTTCCTTTTGAGCTGGATTTCCTGATTTACCCTTCCTGGCATAAGTGTAGTGAATTGGAGGTTTAGCATTACCCCACCCCCATAGATTCACCTTGTCCTCCTCAAGGTGGAAAACTGGAAACAAGTTGTTAATGTTGTGAAAATCCTCAATGTAGCCTCTGTTTCCGGTAGGTTCTTCCTCTTCATTAATTTAGTCACCTTAATTTAGAGAAGGGGTACGTAGTTTGGGGAAATCATCTAATCAAGAGCATCTTGATTAGTTACAGGGGCATTATGGGTATTTTATATTGTTTTGGTTGTTATGACAGATATATCATATAAGAGGGTAGGTAATGAATCTTTTGTGTAAAATCTGGAATTATTTCCTGTGGGAGAGTAGCTATCTCGAATCAGCTAACCAACCTATCCTTTTGTTCTTGATTCATTTGAGTAATAGTGAAGGAATTGCATTTTATTCGAGTTGTTCTTGTTGTGTGTTACTCATTAGATTAAGTGAGTTCATAACAGATTCATGAACAATTGAAGAACAAGATAGAGACTCTCTAGCTATTCGAGGTGCTAGACCCTACCAGGAAGATTCCAATCTCTTAAAACATGCCTCTCCCACTAACTCACTTCCACTACTAATAGCACAACAACATACTACTAAAAAGGTAAACTACCCTAAACTGACTAGGGCGCTATTTCCTTTTGAGCTGGATTTCATGATTTACCCCTCCTGGCATAAGTGTAGTGAATTGGAGGTTTAGCAGCAAGTGTGGCATATTTATATAAAGAAAAGTTAAAACTCAGTTTATTTTCACTTCTTTGTTTTTGGTTTACCTTTTTCAGTAAAATGCACAATATCTTATCATATTTATATGAATAATGTATAAACATCAAAATATTTGTCTAATTACTCATTTTTTTGTTGTAAAGTATTGTTTGTTTGTTTTTTTTTTGTTTTTGTCGAAATATATTGGGTTAATTCCATAAAAGGCCCACGGGTTTGATATTTTTATGGTTTTTTTCCCAAAAACCCCAAAACTTTTCGAACATTTTCTACCTGGTTTGCTGGTAGTTTTCCCAAATGCTGTAGGGTTAAAAGAAAACGTTTTTTTTTTTTCCAGCGTGGTAACGTCGTTATATAGCTATATATAACACCAAACAATATTATTAAAAAAAGATTTTTTTTCCTTCCGGAAAAGATTATTAAAGTAGGTTTTATGATACATACATATTTATATATCCACATTTACAAAGCCTCTCAAAGCAAAGGTAAATATAGATGTAGAGGGTGAAAGGGTGTGATGGTTTGAAGCTATTACACACCCTTGGTGGTTTTCCATCTTCCTCCATCAAGAACACCATAAGCAACAACAACAACGTGAAATGTTTCCGATAAAAAAGTGTGTTTTTTTTTATATATTACTGGTAAACCTGCTAAGAATGCCAAAATAAAAAAAGTTGGAACAGTGTTGGGCCTTTTTTGGAGAAATTTTTTTTAGGTTTAAACTGTAAAAACATCAAACTTGTGGGTATTTTATGAAATTAACCCAATTATATTTTGTCCAACCACCCTTGCTGCTTCTTCATTCCAGGTGGCGCTATCTTTATTCCCTTGATTAATATGACCTTTTTTTGTTGTTCAACCACCAAAAACCATGAAAGATAAAATCAGAATATAATGTTAAATCACAAAGAACCTAAATCAGATCTGTAACAAACCACAAACCCCTCTATCTGAACACAAAATTAAAACCCAAACATGAACAAAGAATAACTTTAAAAAAGTCGTGACATCTTGATGTTTCATGTTGCATCCTGTTTAAATAAATTTCAGATCAAGACTTCGCAAAAAGAGGTCGAGAGAATGCTTCAAGAACATAAGTGAGTTCCATTAAATGATACCTTTAATGGGTTTATCCAATGATGTTTTTTTTTTTAATAAATGTTTTGCATTAATGGTGGTGTGGTGCAACTCTTTCAGATCAACATCAGTGCAGGGTAAACTGTTGAAGCACAATCTTGATTCTGGGGTAGTGGATGCTCTCAAGGATCTCAGAAACAAACTCTCTGAAACCGACACCAAAATAAAATGAAACAAAATATGTGTGGTTCTCTCCTTTCAAGAAACACCAACTTATGTGTTCTATTTCTTTATAAAATTAACATAATTTAAACTGCAAACACATTTTTAATAAAGTGTTATTTGGAAGTAGTATCTACAAGTTTTATTTGGCGGATATCCGCAATATGAATGGCACAATAGGTGCTTTGGCCTGGCCGTGAAAGATGATACTCGAAGCTGTTCCACATGAGTATGAGTTATGTCACTATGTCTCATGTGCATGTGTGGTTCAAGTAACTAGTGCATTTTATTTTTTAAATGGCTAACCAACTAATGTTTTCTTATCTTTACCTCTTATCTCAGGTTGAACATGTTAATCCTCTTTTCATTTTTATACTTTTGAACTAGATTTTAAATTTGTTATGAATTTGGTATGAACATTAAATTTTATAACGAATTCATCCCAAATTTAGTTTAATCTATGAGTTCACTTTTTTTTTTATAACTTAAAAAACTACAATGTTTTTTAAGATTTTTTTCATAATTTTATAGGTTTTTTAAATTCTTTCACAACATTCTTTTGTAACTTTTTATTTTTTTACACTTACATTCATTTTTAATACAACTACTTTTACTCAAAAGTATTTTGTAATTGTTTTATAAAAAATTTACAACATTTTTATACCAACTAAAAGTTTATAAATTTTCTATAATTTCTCAATACAACGTTTTAAACTTGTGTTACACTTTCATATGACTTATCTTTAACAAAAATATTTTTAATTGTTATAAAAAAAGTATAAAAAAGTTATAAAAAATCTATGAAATATTTTTAAGATGTTAAGTTTAGAAAGGGTTGTATGAAAGTTATAGAAAAGTTGTACGGAAATGTAAAAAAAGTTGTAGGAAAAGTATAAAACGTTGTATTAAAAAGTATGAAAAACTTTATAACCTTTTTGTAAATAAGTGTAACAAGTAATAATTTTTTGGGCAAAATGCAGAAAAACAAAACCATTTACTTACAAACATTCAGAAACACCTTTATATTTTGTTTATATGTAGAAAAACTTATATTTTCAGTTATTTTTCATATTAACCTAAATATTAGAGGTTTTTTTTTTAATGAAATTACTGGTTGTTTTATGACATGTTTATCTTTTCCGTTTTAGGGTAACATGGAAATAAAAATAAGTGACATTTGTTATCTAAGGTAAACTATGAGAAACAAATTATTTCCTCAACGATCATTCATTTATTTACTCAAGCCAAAGTAAATGACATTGTTTATTTTTTTTCCATGTCAATTTAAAAACGAACAAAATAAATGTCATGTCATAAAACAACAGTAACTTTTTAAAAGTAATAGATACTTGGGTACATATGAAAAGTAACTGAAAATATAAGGTTTTTTTTTTTTGCATATAAACAAAATGAAAGAGTTTTTCTAAATGCCGGTAGATAAACGGTTGTTCTTTTTTGCCTTTTACTCCAAATTTTTTTTATAAAAAGTTCTAAGATGTTGTAACACAATTAATGAAAAAACAATAAAAAAAAAATTAAGAAAACAAAAAAATCTAAAATGGTTGTAAAAAAATCTAAAAAGTCTTACAAAGTTGTAGAAAAATAAATTTGTACATCAAACTAAATTCAGGACGAATTGTTAATAAAATTTAATGTTCGAATAAAACTCGTAACAAAATTTAAAATTTAGACCAAAAATGTAAAATTGAAGAGGAGTGATATGTTCAACTTGAGATAACATGTAAAGATACATTAATCATGAGTTGGTTATACATTTAAAATATAAAATGCCTTTGTTGGCAACTTGAAAAAATTTTAAAAATTTCTTTCCAAAATTCAGTGATAACTTATCTTAGAAACCCTTAAAAGCATGTGTCATTAAGAAATGTGGTTGGTATGTGGCTTCAAATCCTTTATTATGTCGTATTATCGACTTATACATTTGGAACTAGATATTATTAACTCACTCATACGAAGAAATCAAATTCAAACATGATACCAAATCATATAACCTCTAAAGAAAACGTTATTACCAAAAGAAACTTGATTTTCTTTGAAATTCCTTAAAATTGGATTTTGTTGGTTGTCTTTTAGGCATTTTGCAGTAGTGACCCATGACACTTTACTCACTTTATATTCATGGTTGTAAACATTTCAAATGGATAACATTGTTCCCTACCAAAACTTGATGAATGTATGTTTATATGAGTGATGACATGGGTTTAACATAGGCTTTTAACGAAACTAAACATATTATTTGTATATCGTTGGTAGTGGGCCATACAATAAGGATCCTCACTTAGACATTGATAATCTCATCATATATTTGGGCCGAGTAGTTACAACACCGGAGAACAGATATGGGCGAAGGCGCTAAAAACGACTCGCCCAATTCTAGTAAATGAATGTGTGCCACTCATAATCACTTGTAAAAAGCATGCACGATAAATACACACAAATCATACCTTATGAAAGACATTGTCTCCTCATCAACACTATAAATACCTCATCCATAAAGGGTATCATCAAGTTTTATATCCAAATTCTCACGTTGACTACATATTCGAGCTGTGCTTCAAATAACTACCTTGTTCGGTTTTTAATCAAAATAGTCCACTTATAAACACAAAATTAGATGTAATTAACAACAGAACCATTTTTGTTTGAATAAACTAAAACCATTTTATACCCACCAATGATCATTTTGCAAGAACTTAGGAAGATTAAACATAACAAAAGAAGAAGAAAGTATAACAACCATTGAAGATTTTGGTTCCTTTTGACAATTAAGAAGTTGATGAAGATGGATTTAAGCTATAAATTAAGCTCTCTATAATGTATCCACCAAGCAAGGTTTGCACAAAATGCTAGAGAAAGGAGTAGATAGAGAGTGCTTGAACTTCAAAATTGGCAGCTCATAAAGAGCTCTCTAGCTCTTGGCTTTGGCTCCAAAAGAAGAAGAGGATGAATGCCAAGAAAAGAATAAACTCATTTCTTTACTCATGTCTTTCTCTTATACATCTAACCATGCATAAATGTTAGACAATAAAATAAAAGCAAAAACATGTCTCTTAGAAGCATGGAACATTCAATACAATAAAGAAACTGCAATCTCACCCCATGCCTATGTGAAATGAGTCACAATGGTCAAAGGGACAAAAACTAAGTGCATGTTACTTTATTCAACTAGCTAGTTGAGATATAAACTAAGTTGGTTACCTAAAGTATCCAAAACTTTGTACACAACCTTAA